TCTAAAACGTCAAAAGGGCGAATAAAAAACTATGCTTTAGTTTTTTGTGATTTTACTTTTATTTTGTTGGTATTTAAATTTATAGTAAATATATTTAGTTTGTTTTAGGTTTATTTCTAGTAAGATATAAATATATATTGAATTAATGGCATAAAAGTAAATACTAGATAGGAAAAAAATATACGTGAAACCAGCGGTTTAAAATCGGATCAAACCGTTAGGTTTAGGTTTTGAGTTTTTTTCAAACCGGTCAAAACGGTTTGGTTTATTAAAACGGTTTGGTTTGAAAATTTGTCAAAAACCGTAAAAATCGAACCGCTTACACCCCTAGCTGATTCCATGAACACTTGGCCCTTTATCCAGGGCTGGCCTTGATATTTTGGGGGCCTTATGCCAACTTAAAATATGGGCCCCTATGAATATTAAGCATCTTGATAGAGATTAAAATTATATTTTTAGTAGATTTTGATAAAAATTGATAGAATGTGCAGTTAAAAAGTTGTGGATCTTATAAAATGTGTGATTAAAATTAATTATTGACTTCGATTAGAAAACAATTAAATACAATTAAACGTAATCAGGAAAATTGAAAGATAAAATACAAGATTTAAACTTCGGTACAAAAATAAAAATGGAAAAAAAATAAGTGAATTGGAAAAATCCCAAACCAGATTATACAACATATTTAGATTAATTAAAACATTTATCAATACAATGGCATTAAAAAATTGGAAAAGAAAATGGACAAATAAAACGAAATGCAAGAATTTAGAGAGAAATGAATATTGGTGCATTTAGTAATAGCTCCTTGAATAAATATAAGATCCACCATGAGAGCAATAGAAAAAGTAATGGTTTAAAAAGAGAAAAGTGAGATTTTATTTCTTGTCAAAGAAAAAGAAAAGTGATGGTTAGGAAAACAAAGGTTGAAATTAATTATGTGCTCGTTTCGCATGGTTTTTGCTTTTACTTTTGCTTTCTGTCAAAGAGTTTTTGGAGGAATCTATTTTAATTTTTAATTGGAAACTAATTTTTAAAAGTACTTCTTATTCCAAAAGTGCTTTTAGAGGAAGTTATAATTGACCAACTTTCTTTAAAAGCATTTCTAACTATCAAAAGCACATTCATAAAATTAACCAAACATGTTTAAAAGCAGATTTTGGATCTTAAAAGCTCATTTTAACTTTTCAAAAGTCATGACAAATGACCCTGTATATAGAGAAAGTAATGGTTGTGAGATAAATAAATGTATGAGATAGGTTTTCTGTCATTTATATAATTTTTTTTAGAAATATTTGTATTTTCAAATTTTATTATTTTCTTGTGTCTGCATTTGATAATTATAATTTAAAGAATTTCTTAATTATAATTTTCTTTTTTCCTTCGGTCACTTAACTTTACATAATTTGGGACCCCCATTAAAACGGGACATTAGGCGATCGCCTACGCTACCTATAGTTGGGCCTGCCGTGCCTTTATCCCATAAATATAATTATACCCAATGAACTTCATCCTTGTCGTGGCATTTCTCATAGAGAGATGCTTGAGAGCCAAACTCTCGAAAACGCGAGACTGCCTAGGTTACGACATAGTAACTTGGGTGTTCTCTTCGTGTTTCAGTTTTGTGTTTTGAGTTTTGAATTCATTTTGTGTTTTCTGTTTTGAGTGTCTGTTTTGAAATTGCTGAAAACGCATTCTCTTTGTCATTCTGAAAAACTGTTTCTCAAAATAGAAAACTTGAAAACGCGTTTACTTTGAAATTTTGAGAATTTTTTTAATAATATTTTATTCAATAAAAATGATAATTCAATAAATTTTAATAGTTTAATGTTAATCGATTGAAGAAAAAAATTAATGAGATAACATTGCTAAAATTCTCTCATTTAATTCAAAAGCTTTGTCTTATTTCCGTGTCCAGAACAAAAAAAAAATGCATATATTATTTTCATCACATTCTTCATAAAAAGATAACAAATTTTTCGAACTATTTAATTTCAGACAAGGAAGCCATTTTTCACTCTTATGTGCAACTTAAACTAAAAAAATTGTAACATAACAAGCAAAATAGAGTATTTTACATAAAGTAATGACCATTACAATGAATTCAACGAATTAACAGACACCTACATTCCAACCAATATTTTAAACATGAAAGGACGAACAACAGAATGAGATCATCTAACTAAAACCAAACAAAACTACACCATAAGGCTCTTACCCAACAGGTTTTTGAAAATTCACCCCATCCATGTGTTACGTCAGAGAGATCCTTCAGAGTTGTCCCAACATATACCAGGGCAAAAGTAATTGGCTGCAGAAAGAGCACAAATGGGCATCAACGCACTAAGCAAACAAATGCATTTCTGACAAAACATACCTAAATGTGCATTGAGGTATATGTAGCAGGTCAATACTTAGAATTTTTAAAAATGTAAAGGTTTTCATCAGTGGCATCACCTTAAAATGCCATTAAATTCATTGGCATGTTATCACTAAAGAGATAATTATAGTAAAACTGCATACCATCATTCCCAACCATGAAGCTAGCATGTAATGTCCAATGGAGACTGGAGTCACGGATAAGAGGTAGTTCAACATGTTAAATGGAAGTAAAGGAACAAGCCGAAGAAGCAAAACAATTTGTTCAACCATATGAATGTAAAAATCAAACAAACTATTCAAATCGATTACCTATGAAAGACCACGCATCAAAACAAGGCACTGAATTTCATAGGATCAGTGGGAAGGAAGACATACAGACCTTGAATCCAGATCTTCGAATTGCAATTGCAGCAAAATAGAATATTTTACATATTATTAAGCAATGAGATCCAACCCTTCAGTTGGCTTCTTCAATAGAAGTATAAATATTCATCAAGGCTCGAGAAAAACCTGTGGATGATTATGTACTATACAGACTAATAGAGGTGTGCAAACTACTATAAGAAAATTATTCAATAACTGAGCTAGGAATTTGTAACTCCTACTATTCTGTTAATCAAATGGAATATGCCTACCCATATGAACAATTGCCATGAGTTGACTCTACTATTTGGTTAGATTTTCATTTTCCAGACTATGTTATCAATGCCACTGTCATGGATTTTCTCCACAGCAGCAACTTTCGCTTGATGACCTGCATGGGAAATTGTTGACTTTTCCCTTTCTTCCTGAGGGAATTCGCGAGCTTCACTGATGGAAGCTGATCTCAAGTCAGCCAGTGGAATAAAACAATCTAGTCATAGACTAGGAACATTGAATGCAACCTCTTCAATTGTCCAAGTTTCTTCCATCCTGGTTTTCGAATGGCTCATCGCCATCTCCCCAAACAGAAAAAGAGTCACCGCAGAACGCCCAGAGTGAGCAATCATGATTCCTTCAAAAGGCCGGTAATCATCAAGGAAAGAACTGATAGTAGTCTCCCAGTACACTGCATCACCATTCACCATACACTGCATCACTATTCACGCCCAGATTGGCTGAAATAACCAAAGAGTGCATGCCTTATAATCTCTGCTAGTCCTTCACTCCTGGCCTTCAATGTCTGATGGGTCCGCAGATAGCTTCAAAATGAAGCAATCTTCCCCATTAATCTTCTTCTCACCAATGCAAATGGCATCAGCAAAACATTAATTAAGACATTACAACATAAGATACAAAGATACCTGAAATCATACAAAGATACAACTGAGTTAATTAACTATCAAATAAATGGGTTTAGGTTCTAAACAACTCCTGGATTGGGTTTCGATTTAAACAACTCAGGTTAACACAAAATGGATTGTATTGCAAACTTCAATCACTACAGAGAAAAATTCAATTATTCAGCAATAAACCTTACGGTCCTTACCTGGATCAAAGTGTACTAATTATTATAAGTATAAAAACCATCTAGCTTCTACTGGCCATATTAGAAAAACATATAATATAAAATATATCAGATATTACTAAAAATGTGAAAAAATAAAAACATGTAGAAAAATACAAGAGAAAGATTCAATTAGTAATTTTGTGATGCACCCAAGAATCAAGCAATATATTTTCAGATACTCTTAACTAACATATGAAAAATTGAGTAACCTTAACAAATAATTCCTGTAAAGTTTCATCTATAACCTAGAACCATCGGCAAATAAGTTCACATATAGACTAATTTTACCTCAGACCATTTAAATACAATGATGTGAGCATAAAGATCATTTTCAGTCATCCAAACTCAACACAGTAAAACCTCCACAAGAAATTTAGAACTATCTCAAGAAACTAAGCAAGGGGCGATAAATTCATTCAAGAAAGTTTAAGTCTGTACCTTAAAAGATACCAATTGCTTGCGGGCTCGGTAGCCAGTTGAAGAAGAAGACCCACTAACTGAGGAAACGCCTGAAAAAGAAACCAATCCTTTACGTAGCCTTTGATTTGGTGGAAGAATCGATTGAAAATGAAGAGACGGGATGGATTGGAAGAAGACGGAAGAAATCGAAATACTGGGAGTGGGTGTTACTGTTCCAAAAGAGCATTTCCCGTGTTTTGGCCCTTCCCCGTGTTTTTGCTTGAAAACATCCAAAACGATGTTTTTTTCGTTTTGTGTTTTGTGTACAAATTTTTTTTCGTTTTCAAAAATGTGTTTCAAAAATGAAAAAGAGAACGCATTTTCACTGTTTTGAAAAATCGAAAACAGAAAACGACCCAAAACGGCCAAAGAGAACAGCCCCTTAACTTCCCATTTCGTGAACTCTTCTTTCCAAGTGAGGAGCATACTGGCTGAAGCAATAACCATAGGTTGGCAGTTTGGAAACAAGTTCAAATAAGTTTCCATGAAGAGTTTTTCCAGCTAAGTTCTTCCACAAAAACTCAAAGCCTTCTTGGTTATGTTTTTACAGGCATTCTCTGAGACCATATTTAACATTCCAAACTTTTCCGTGAGCTTTTCTGTTATTAAATGTAAAATTATCCACTTAAGATAATAAAGTCCATCAAACATATATAACTTCACGGTCCCTGTTGAAATATTAAACTCAACTCCAGTTCACGTGTGTGCAAACCAGCAGCTCAACATGTAAAACACCAGCTCACCTTCAGCAAACGAGTTCACCAGCAAACCGGTTCCTGCCTACAACAGAATTCAGCTTCTTTCTTCCAGCTTATTCTAGCTCCTTCTAGTTACTTCCTTAGTTTGTTATCTTGTTAGTTTGTTAGATAATTGGTTAGTATTTTCTCTATAAATAGAATAGGATGCATTGTATTTTCCTTAACCAAGTATGAATTAAAGTTCTACTTCCGTGCCTGTAATTCAGAGCAAGCCTATCCCTCCGGTTTACTGTCTTTATTTTCAGTTCATTTTATTTCAGCTTCAATTGCTCCTTCCTTCCTTGATTTTATCATGGTATCAGAGCAGGTTTAGATCCTTTCATATGAAATTCATTTTCTTCTTTATCTTTTCTCAATTCAATCAAAAAAAAAAAAAACCGAAATCAGAAAACAGATTACCAGAAAACGTGACTTGTTCACTAGATGCTCGACGAAATGTCGGAATGAATGAAAATTGAAGAGATGTTGTTCCTCTTCATCCAAATTGAAATGAAATTAAAGATAGAACCTATGGCATGGCAGGCTTCTCTGAAGAATTTTCTGAAAATATTCCTTCTCGAAAGGAGAAGGAAGATAAACCGAAATTGAAATGGAATTGAAGATCGAACCTGCTAGGATGGCAGCTTGTCAGATCTTCGGATTGATTTTATCTTCTAAATGAAGATATGAAGAACAAAGTATCTGTGATGAGAACACAGGTACTGATGAAGATGATCCAAGGCAGACGAAGTTCTGATGAAGATTTTGAAGTTTTTTTTTCTCTGAAACAAGATACTCCTTGATTGCATCTCTACTCTCTTCCTCTATGGTTCAAGATGTTCCATCTTGAGGGGGGAGTGTTGAAATATTAAACTCAACTCCAGTTCACGTGTGTGCAAACCAGCAGCTCAACATGTAAAACACCAGCTCACCTTCAGCAAACGAGTTCACCAGCAAACCGGTTCCTGCCTACAACAGAATTCAGCTTCTTTCTTCCAGCTTATTCTAGCTCCTTCTAGTTACTTCCTTAGTTTGTTATCTTGTTAGTTTGTTAGATAATTGGTTAGTATTTTCTCTATAAATAGAATAGGATGCATTGTATTTTCCTTAACCAAGTATGAATTAAAGTTCTACTTCTTCCCTGCTGTAATTCGGAGCAGGCCAATCCCTCCGGTTTACTGTCTTTATTTTCAGTTCATTTTATTTCAGCTTCAATTACTCCTTCCTTCCTTGATTTTATCAGTCCCAGAAGATATTATCTTGTCTGGTTCCCTACTGCTTTCTCCACCTACAGGAGTAGAACAAGAGAGTTTTACATAAGCAAAATCATAATTCAATTAATGAGGAGGTTGCAGGACTCATTAAATGAAAATACCTTCCCAGGGATTGGGTAAGTTCTAAACTAGCAATTGGGCAATAAAACCTATAGCACACCCATATTTAAAATATGATACTGAGAATTTATTTAGTCAAATAAAAAAGTTTATTTTGAGCAGCAGCAGCATAACTTCTTCATCACTTTCCCTGAAATAATCACAACGGAGTGCATGTAGATGAACAAACCGTAGAATTTTATGCAAGTTGTAAAGCAACATGAGCAAAGAAAAACAAAATATAGTCAAACAAGGATATATTAGAAAAAATTGATCAGACGAGAATCTAAAAGAAATCAGAAAAAGTTGACCCAATGAATTGCACAAAGGCTGCTCACTGGAGAATGGAAGCAACTACAAGTTCAACAAAGTATTGACTAAACCTTGTGTGGAACTATGTGATGTTACATATTATTCGATGTACTGAAAATGACTACAAAGAGGCAATAAATAAAGTCCCTTAGAATATAACCCTAGTAAAGGGAAAGACTAAATTTACATAAACAAACAAAGTAATTAACTATTATATCTAACAACATGAAGAATCCACAGTATCAGAAGAATCAGAGTTATCAATTACAAAATCTTCTTCATCCACACTATCATATCCACTATTATTAGGAGAAAGCAATTCATCTGATGAATCCAAAATAGTTCTGTCAACTAAATCAGAGTCTGGATGCTTTTTAAGAAATTCCCTCTTCAATTGAGTCTGACTTGCAGTAGCCCAAATGAAACTTCAATGAGTTTGTCCTTCATTATTTCTAGAGGCTGAAGGTCTTGTATGTGATGAAATTAAGTCAAATAGTTGAGCTTTGGGGTGCGAGGTTGTAGATCATGATAGCAAGGTATCAAAACAAGGTTCTTTTTGCAGACAAACATTTTTACGTGCTAATTACTTGCAAATTTTATGCAAATTCAAGAAAAAATGTGTGAGCGTCGGCCTACATGACATACATGCATACACTCGTATTTCAAATATGGGAAGAGAGAATGGGGGGAGAGAGCTAGGGAGAAAAGGAATACCCTGAACACTACCCTTGTTTCCATACTATACATGAACCAATCTTCATTCCAAAAAAAGCACCCAGAATCCCAAATTTGTTTTCCACCGCATAAAAATTAAAATTCGTAAGTCAAAACTAACTGGGGACTTGGCATTAATTTATTTAAAACCTTAAGATTAAACACACAAATTGTATATGTACTTTATGTCTTGTTTCAGAATCATACATGAACTGATTTTGTTCAAAACAATAAGCGTCATAATTTTGGCTTGCCAAAAATCCGTGTACGAGGAAGTTGGTATGTCCTGGACTCTTTTCTAGAGAACTTCCATTATCTAAATCCTGTCACATTTGAAAGGGAGATGTCATGAGAAACTACACTAGTAAGCATGTCATCAAAAAGCATTAAAACCAGAAAGCATCGTTTATGTATTCCAACTTGCCTAAAATTAAAGCCTAACTACATCCTAATTTGATAGTCTTTTGAACAACTTAAATTTGACAAGCTTAAATGAAGGCAAACATTGCTACAACCACATAAGAACTGCCAGTGGCATCCAAAATTCAATCATATGGGAGAGCACATGCAATCTCCTACATTAGTTGCACAGTATCATTAGTTACTTGACAAAGAAACAATGATGCAATGCCAATCAAAATGAAGAAACAAAGCAAGAGTTAGTTAAAATGGCTTCAACAATTTCTATGTAAAAATCAGTTGCAATTCAAGTCATTAAAATATCTTTAAAAGGTACCAGATTTCCTTTTTTTTTTTGGGGTCTTTAATGATGACATGGTGAAGATGCTCCAACCATCCCCATAGCTTTTCTCATCAGCATCAAACAGCTGAAAGAATTACCCTGTGACTGCCTGACAGACTTCTTCCCCTTTTGGCTAGCAATTGGAGCAAAGCTTCCACCCAAACCATGGTTTGTGTTAATTTCCTCCACATCCCCGGACCTATATGAATTCCCCTGTGCAACCCCAAAGTAGATCTTCCTCTTAGATCTT